TAATGCGTTCCATTTAGGAGTCATTTTTCTTACAATTTATTTTGCTCGTTAAGCGAAATGATCGTTATGCTAGGTGCTCGTTAATCGAGGTTCTACTGTATATAAAAATGTTCAATTTTTTTTCGCAGCCCGTTTTGTGTATTTCAGTAGTTAAAGTGTTAATCATGAATGTAAAGTTAGATAATTAGATTATTTAATTGTAAAATGAAGATATATTCAAGGCAAAATATTTGATATATGTTGTATATACAGATGTTTTGATATAACATTATCTAATATAAATCTAAAAAAAAACTCTAAATTTACATATTTCCTATATTTCAATGTTTTACTGTAATAATACTTTGAAGTATGAAGTATTCTTAAATTTTAAATAAACAAATTACAAAATAACATACAAAGATATGAGAATATATAGTTTTTTCGCACTGTTCATTTCTACAAAGATAAATCAAAGCAACGCCCATTTATCTTTCTTATTTTTCAGCACGTCCTCATTTCGTAACCTTGCAGAAAGTTTGCTACTGTCTTCTTAATATGTATTGATTCTAGCAATATCTGTTACCTAACAACACGCAATTATTTAGAATCACATAAATATTTGAATCCAGAAATTTCATAACTGGACAAACAGAAATTATAAGTTGATTTGATGAAATCAAGCGAATACTACTGAATCAACATAAAATATTGATATTTTAACTATTTTTAACTTCACAAAATCAATATTGAGAACATCTTAAATAATCAAACCAAAATTACAACTTCTAGTCGATCAATCAGACCAACATTGTTATATTTCTTCTTCAAATATTTATATTTGAACGAAATTTTATTTTCGAAGTTGACAAAATCAATAAAATGCGAACGTTCCGATGCTCAACAATGCCAACCAAACATTTCGACGAGATGCATATTTGCAGATAGATGAAATGCTTTGTAGTCGTAGTCGTTACACATATATTTTTTTTAGTATTTATCCAAGTAATAAAGGAAATGGTGGAAGCAGCAATAAAACGAATTTGCTGAATCCCTCGACGCGCAAATGTTAATCCTTTCGGGAAACATCCAATTTCAGCAATCACCATGTCAATTTGTAATCTAGATTGGACGCAAAAATATAAATGTATTTACCACAGTTATTACAACATTCAAAATATATTTTTGTTGATTGATGTTTACATTTATACACATGCAAATTTGTAATTACTTTTATCATTTTTATAATATTTGTTGGAAAAATAAAATAACATAAACTCTCATTTAAATAACGAAAAGCAAGATTTTGTTGTTGTTTTGTTGTTGTAGATCTGACAAATATTGTAAAAATAATATATGTAATTAATTTGTATGTGTATAAATATAATTACGTCATCTAGATTGTAGAAAGATACATCAGTTAGTCGCCAGATTGTTGATTATCTTCAGTCGATTTTGATCGATTTTCAGTTGAAAAGAAGCCTTGACATATTCGTAAATTAATGAATCACATCAAGAGGTCGCAACGACTTCAAATAGAATAAATTTGCTATAGTCACACGATTCCTCTTAAAGCTATATTAAATCTAAGAGGAAAATCAAGTTACTTTATACTCTTTTCGATTAAATTAATACAAGTTTTAATCATTTTCAGATAGAGGTAGGAATTAAAAACACACATTTGGCTTCTTGCCATTAGATCCTTAATATTCAACAAAAGGATTTGGGAATATTGCCATACGAGATTCAGGTCGCCGCAAACCAAGCATTAATAATGTGGAAAGCTTTACCGTAACTTCACTGAATTTAGTTTACACGTCAAACAGTTCATTCAATTACACACATTTATTTTGTATAGGAAAACATTTCTATATTTAATTTGCTATATCAATAGAAATAATAACTAGTAGAAGACGTAACTAAAGTTTCTTAAGTGTTATGATAGTTTTTTACATACAGTGTTAAATTGTTTGCAAAGTTATTTCATAATGTCATTTAGAATATAAATCGAATATTCCTAAATTGATTATGATAGGCTCTTAAGGACTATTAAACTTCATGCTAATGTGTTTCAAGGACAAGATTCATAACTACTCCAGCATGCGAACTTATTCATAGTTTAGATTCGCGTCTAAACCTTTTTGCTGCACAACATTTTTGTTTATCGTTGTACCCAATTATTTATTACATAAAAATAAAAAAAAACGGGAAATTATAGATGAAAACTAAGAGTATTTAACAAGTTCCTTGCTTTGACGTAAGGAGACAGCTGTCATTTCTCAATATTGGGTCACGACACAGATTGAAAAACGTAGGTTCAGACTTTAGTAAACGATTGATTCTGTTCTTTTTTTGTCTCATACAATGAGATTTTGTTTTTCGTTTATATCACTAAGAAACTGCGACAATAGAAAAGAAACAAATTGAGAATTTGTAGAGAGAATCTAAAATGTTCATCCTGATATACTTGACAGATCCTTGAGATGGGTTTTTGTTTGGTATCTCCTCTGGTTTACACCATTCCATTATGAAGCTTTCAGGTTGGTAAATAGAGGAGATCCAACAGAACCACGATGAGAAGCTGCACGGACATCGTCGGATCGATACAAAATACCGATCTTAGTAATACGACAAATTTTCTTGCTGTTTCCCTCTTCATTAAAGTAATGGAAACCTAATTAGCAAAGTAAATATAATAATTAGCAGGCAAACGTTAATTACCGGGGAATTTCTTTAAATAAAATCGCGGAAAACTTTCCAAAGCTCTAGGATTAACTTAAGAGTTTGTGAACTTTATAATTAATACATTCTTTGTGAAAGCTTTCGAAAGGAAATGGGACGCTCATTCACACCCCCGCTCATGTGATTATCATATGAAATTGAACCCGAAGCTCGTGGCCATTTCCGCTTTCCATCCACGCTGTTTTCCCAGCACGCCCATCATTTTAATACGTCCTTTTTCTGAGATAACTCAGTCTTTCTACGTCTTTTGGAATAATACAGCAATCTGTGATCAGCACTTTACAATGGTTCGACCTGCAAGCTTATAGTAGAAGAAATCAACTCGTAAATAAAGGGAAAGATACTTTAGTGCTTACTTTAATAGTAAGCTCAACTATCTTAAAAGTCATGTATTATTTCCAGAAACATTATCCCGTTCCGTAGGGAGCAATAACTCAAGGCAAACATGAGATCTAGCTGACCTTTAAAGTACATTCATATCTAGTTTTCTTTCACCATAAGATTTTAATTTTGTAAGAAATTATTTTATTTATTAATTTAAATATTATATAATAATATTTTTTGGTACAAACGTTTTTTTGTCTAATTTAATCTAATTTATAATATATTTCACTATATTAAATCCACTTTAAATCGTTTTGCAGAGGCCAAGAATATTGCTCAAAGTATATCAAATAACGAGCTTAAATTTTAACGCACAGCATTTTGGGTTACTTCAAAGGATGATTCAATTAATTTTCTTTTGATGATTAAAACCCCACCCATAATATGTTCTTTGATATCGTTGCTACAGAATTAAATACTTGCAACACAAAATTTTAATTAACAAGACGAATTTTAAAATTGAATGTAGAATATTAAGAAATTAGTCAAATTTCAATGATAAAAAAACTGCTTAAAATAATGTGAACAAGTTTAAATTATTTAATGCAAATGGTAGATTAAAAATAGCTTTTGTTAGACATGCCATAAACATGTTTCTAGTTATAGTTTACATTAAGCTGCAATCGGGAATTGATGTTAGTGTTGGCATACAAATTCCATTGCAAATTGGAGAAAATAAGTTCTTAGGATTTACCAAAAAGTTTATATACTAATTTAATACCGGTATTGAGCAAAGATGAATTTATATATTTCTTTTTAATAAAATAAATTTATATCAATTTATTTATTGATATAAATCTCTCCGGCCTTATTTCTACCCCTTTCGGGTTTAACAGCCACCACAATTTTTTGTTGATTTTTCGGAATTGAACCAACGACCTTTCGTATAGCAATTTATATTAAAAAGTTAAGCTTTTATTTTGGTTGGTAATTAGAATGTTGTATTAAATGTTCAAAGTTTCTCGAAGTTGGTATGTTTTTTTTTATAAAACGTAAATTAAAAGTTAGATTGTAGTGGTTTTCAACAAACTTCTTGGTCATAATACAGAAGCTGCTGAAAGTTTCGAGTGTCGGTGAAGTCGTTGAAGAATAATAAAATGTTGGTAAATAGTAAATAAGTATTTATTATTAATAAGTACTCTTTATTGATGAATTGTTTTAAATTAGGTTTTTGAATGGTGTGAGTAGATGTCGCTTTTCGATTTGGGCATTTGAAAAGTAAATTAAATGGAATATTTATAGTGATGTCCGAATTGAAATGGATCTCTGTGTACTCTCTCTTCCAAATGTAATTAATGAGTGTTTGGAGTGGTTTATTTTTACCTGTTGCTGATCCTCCTGTTGGAATTGTCAGGTCCGTGGTGCTGACGGAAGCGACGCTCGCGGCTAATTTACCAACTTCGTGCAGGACAGGTGGTACGAAGGTTTTGGGTATGGCCGCACTCACCGACAATTTGCTCGGTTTCACCGGCTTAACACCGGGTGCCAAGAATCTGCCGCTCATCGGAGCTCGTCTTCAGGACCGACAACAAAACTGGACTAAAAGCAGATGGAAGCAACAAGGTGGTAATAAGTTACTTAGAGGTTCGATCACGAAGCGAGAGCCATTTGTGTCAAACGGTAGTCGGAAAACTCGCGCGCTGCAACAAACATGCGCTCGTTGTCCGCATTAAAGCAGCGATCTATCGATCTGTTAGCTAACAGTGGAAGATTGGTTGCATAGGTTGCAAAGACTGACATAACCGTGACACACTTGGATCTTGAGATCGGCTCCGCTCGAGCGTAGTGTTATGACAGGGAATCGGGTGGACGTCTTGAAACATGAAAGCATGTATCAATTTATAATCCCCAAGTAAGGTAATTAGTATCGTTCTGTATGATTGGCCTGCCTTTTGTAACTACTTATCATCTAACCTTTCGGAGATGAGTGGTGGAGGAGAATAGTGCTGTGTAACGGAACGAACTGGCGAATCACTGGAGGCACTCGAGATGGCATCTAAAAATATACGCGGGGCTTTGGGTTCGTTCAACGGGCAACTAGCATTATCGCATCGCTGTATCTCCGCCCCGCCATTCATCAGGTATCTCCGGCTTCCAAGCAGCAACGACATTCAAAGTAAAAGTGACCGTCGTAGAGGCACGACACACGCAGCGCTCGTTCGTCTATCAAAAATATCAGTTTTCTGACGCATCCCACGGACCAAGCCCTTGCCGAATTCAAAATCACTCCGTAAGGATAATGCTTATTGTGCAGTCCTAAAGCCTAATTTGCGTACTGCGTTTCACATCAAAATATCATCACAATGGGATTCGCCGAATGTATTGATATATTCTTGAAGATGCTCTTTGCTGCATTCGACGTCTTCTTTAGAAACATGTTCCGGCTCATCTATGGCAAGACAGGCAAGAAGATGCCGGCCATCAAGGATCTGGTCCTGCTCGAGTCTGCTACATCCTTAGCTTACAAAATCAGGAACGGCAAGGTAGATATGATAGATAATCCAGAATGTTTCCATATCTTCATGCGATACGCTGTTTTCAGCCTAAAAGCGTGAACAAGTTTATTCAATTAGTTAGCTCACTAATATTTCGACCTTGAACATGATTTGAGCGCAAATTCTTAATTTTACTAGAGTTTTAGTATGATGTACAACCTACTTCAAACTCAGCTTATTTACATACACATTAGAATACTAAACGTCAAAATTATTCGCTAATTTCCAAACACATCCATCATTAAAATTCAAATAAAATATATATGCGCAGTTTTCGCTAAAACATTTTAATTATCTAAACCTATTCATTTCTATTAAGAGAAGACTCAGTTAATAAATGACAAGAAAGACGTCATTCCACTAGTCAACAAAGTGTTTCAACATTTATATTAAAAACAAATAATAAATATTTTCATAGTTTTATCATATGTTTAACTAAGCTTTTAGTTTAATAAATGAAAAATAATTTTCTCATCATTTTTTAAAAAAACGTATGAGACTTAATGCAAATTTAGAATCAATGCGTTTTTTAATGGTTTCCTATGTGTGAAAAACCAGTTAATTCATGTTAATCACGAATGAATCCTTTCAAATCAATCATTTATTTTACATAAAACCACATTCTTGACTATTTAAATACACATCAATTACATAGTACTACTAATTTTGAAAAACTATAAAGTTTGTAAATGTAAGGAAGACTATGAGTGATACAACATTTACAAGTGTAAAGTATGAAATTTATTTCTGATCTTTATCTGTTACATTACAACGTGTATATTTACGGTAGCAGACGTAACATTTATTTATAAGAAATTTATTATGTTTATCATTTTATACTTTTGTATCGCATGTAAACAAATGAGTCCATAAGCTATAAATAAGCGAAATTTATATTGTCTGCTTTATATATGACATTTGTTCGTTAAAATAGAAAATATTATATAATATTTAAAATGTAAGTTGCTGTTATAGGAGTAGAATATTGAATACTAGACTGTGTGGTTGTGAGTCATGAAACTTTGAGCACAGTGCTTGAATTTATATCGGAGTCAGCATGTTTTATTCATATTTATGAAATAACTATTACCAAAATTTAATATTAAAAGATACCAAAAGGAAGAAGCTGTTCGACTTATCCAACAGGAATGGATCAAAGCGGTTAAAAATACTTTTAAATGACACACATCCTGCTACGGTATAAAGAAACTTTAAAGAAGTAAATTTATTTACCGGATGCGGTAAAGAATTGTTGTTAATTAGGATAACAATTTCTGAATATCGCTCGTTCAGCGATCATATTATACGTTAATTATTTCGTTCAGCCGTGAACTCCCGACTGTGACCCCTTTGAATGGGATGGTGGACATAAACAAAATTATAATGAACGAGTGTATATGTGTGCATTGTGCTGCGACGATTATGCAATTTGGTTAATTTATTTTTTCCTTACGATGCATTTGTTACAATTGAACGGGTATAATTCCGGTTTTATTTACTAATAAAATCGATGCCGACGAAGCCACGAACCTTCACAAGGTTATCTATTATTTCGGTTATCTAACATTGCAAGGAATTTTATTATTTAATTTAATTAGTGTAAGTTGCGGATACAGTTCTTCGCTTTCACCAATTAATAGATACGTAACGTTTCGAAACAAAAAAATATATTTCTTTTATATAATAACATATTGAATATGCGATTCGCTGTTTTCAATCTAAAAGCGTGAACAAGTCTATTCAATTAGTTAGCTCACTAATATTTCGACCTTGAATATGATTTGAGCGCAAATTCTTAATTTTATTTGAATTTTAGTATGATGTACAACCTACTTCAAACTCAGCTTATTTATATACACATTAGAATACTAAACGTCAAAATTATTCGCTAATTTCCAAACACATCCATCATTAAAATTCAAATAAAATAGATATGCGTAGTTTTCGCTAAAACTTTCTAATTATCTAAACCTATTAATTTCTATTAAGAGAAGACACAGTTAATAAATGACAAGAAAGACGTCATTCCACTAGTCAACAAAGTGTTTCAACATTTATCTATTATTTCGGTTACCTAACATTGCAAGAAATTTTATTATTTAATTTAATTAGTGTAAGTTGCGGATACAGTTCTTCGTTATCACCAATTAATAGATAGGTAACGTTTCGAAACAAAAAAATATATTATTTTTATATAATAACAAATTGAATATATCTATTTTCCTCTGGTTTAATAATCAATGTTTATCTAGTGTCTGGGCGATAACAGTTTGATAGTATAGTGACTGTTGTATCATTAAAACAGAATTCGGCCAACTGTTTAATATCAAAATGATTCACAAATTTATAGATAAAAAATTACATAATTCATTTTTATTATTACCAATTTCAACAAATTGTTGTGCCCAAGATCATACTTCACATGATCATTTCTGTAGTCCTAGTTAGTTAGCCCAAGACTCATGTGAGTCCTAGTTAATCCTAGTAATAGTTCTAGTCTATACTACTCTTGAACAGCAACCTACGCTTGTAGCAACTAGAAGCTAGATTAAGATTCTTCATCACCCAAGTGTTAAATAAATACGATTAAGTACACTGACTTCAATCTACTCTTCCATAAAACCCACCAGGACTCCACATCTACAATACTACAAATGATTTCATAGTGTCCAGAGATATTCCATCCCGGGACACGACAAAATTACCTTCAGTATATCTATAATAACGTTTAATTATCATTTATAAAATAAAGTTTTGCAATTACATAAAATTGTTATTGTACATTTAAGTGTATATGTATACACTTAAATGTATAATTGTATAAAAAAACGGTTTTAATTTTAGCACTTTGCAAAAGATACTAAAATAGGAATTTCTTGTATTTACCTAAGTAATTTAGATAAACAATGTCGATTTCATCCATGCAAAAACTCTTGTATTTTACTTTAAACACTTCCATTGTAGTCGTAAAACAGTTGTTGCGTCCAACCTACATTTCGTTCATTAAATATCTGCACGAGATAGCGCCGACAAGTAAATTTGAATATTTTGGGAACTCGTTTTAAGAACTCTCAACTGGATACATTAAACTTAACTGTAATCACCAATCGCTCTCTCATATCAAACAAGTTTATTTGACAGAATTATTTTCTTTTTCTTGGAAATTCTAGATGGATAAATGTCACATCAAGTTTGGTTCTCTTTAGAATATTTTTTTTTAATCTTAGAACTAATTGATGATTAAAATTTAAGAATTATATAATATTTAGTTTGGTTCTCTTTGGAATTATTTTTTTTAAATCTTTTGAGTAGTATTTCATAACAATTATAGATAACATATTCCTGGTACGCGACACAGTAGTATGAACAAAGTCAATTGGAACATACATGTTGTTCGAGTCGTGTAGCTTGATTATTAATTATCAAGGTAAAATGCAATTGTAACGTTTTATTTATAACTTTTTAAGCAGTGCTCTGAATCATTGGTATGAAGGTTATGGAATTTTTTAAAATATATTGTATTATAACTATATTTTTATGCTAGTTTGTATATAAGTATAAGTATGAATTATTTAACCTAGTTAAATCTAATAAAAAATATTATATCATTGCAAATGAACAAAAACTTTAGATTAAGTAATCAAGGCTATATAGATTAGCGATTGCAATGCTTTTTTTTTAAGTTCATGTATTTTGTAGATCATCTTGAGTGTGTATGGCATTGATAACAATAATGTCCAGATTAGTGGAATATATTGAATATAATTTACAATGTTATTAGAACCATTTTGTATTGTTTAAAATTAAATGTTTTCAATTTATATTTGGAAAGTAATAAATCTGTCATTATTCAAATATAATAGAACATTATTAATATTACTTTAAGATGCACTTAAAATGTAGTAGAAAATTAAATATTGCAATATTGAAACAAAATATCTCTTTGAATGTTTGGAAACTTTCATCTCGAAAGTAGCAAATATTTGCGTCAAGATTGGTGAAATCTAATTTGAAAAGTAAATAAAGTAAAGGCTCTCTCCTCATAATAAATATTTTGTTTGTATTTGAAAAGGTAACTTTCTTATAATTTGAATAAAATCTTTTGAATTTTTACTATTTACGCAGTATTTTATATCTATTCGTAATTGTTAGTGTTTAATAGACTAACGATCGGTAACTATGGAAACTTAGTGGTATATACAAAAATAATTATCAGTTCAGTGAACGGTCGATATTAGAGCTATAGTAATCAATCAATACGTGTATTTACATTAACCACGTTTCGTAATTTCAGTTGTCCAGTTTGGACGTGACAAATTCGTTCATCGAGAGAATCCACGAGACAAACAAGCTTTTGAACTGCGTCGTCGACAATCGTTTCGAGGATGCGAGGAAGGAAGCGCAAGCTGCAGATGACCTCATTAAAAGTGGAAGTGTTTCAAGTGAATCGTTGGCTAAAGAGAAGCCCTTCCTTGGAGTGCCTTTCACGACGAAGGATTGTATCGCTGTTAAAGGTAGTTTAAAGAGAAAATGGAACAAAACCAATAGTAATACGTTGTTTTCAGATATGTTACACACATCTGGATTGTACAAGAGGAAAGATGTTAAGGCTTCCGAAGACGCCGCAACTATTAAATTGCTTCGCGCTGCAGGAGCGATTCCCATCGCCCTGACCAACGTATCGGAACTATGCATGTGGTATGTGATATTTAGATTTACATGTTGCACTGGTCAAGATTCGTAATTGCGTATATTTTTAGGTGGGAAAGTAATAACCCCGTTCACGGTAGAACGAACAATCCGTACGATTCCAATAGGATAGTGGGTGGATCTTCGGGCGGTGAGGGTTGCATTCAGGCAGCAGCCGGTTCTGCATTTGGAATTGGATCGGATATCGGCGGTTCTATCAGGATGCCGTGTTTCTTCAACGGAGTTTTCGGGCACAAACCCTCGAAATTCGTGGTCAGCAACGAAGGACAATTCCCGGCCGCCGTCAACAGAGAGCAAGACAGTTTCCTTGGTATTGGACCGATGGTGAGGAGGGCCGAAGATTTAACTCCACTCCTCAAGGTCATCGCCGGTAAAAATGCGGAATCATTGAAATTGGACGAACCGGTTGACTTGAAAAAGATTAAATTCTTTTATCAAGACTGCGACACCGGCTCCAGTTTCGTTTCCTCTGTCGATCCCGAGATCAAGGAATGCTTCAGCAAGATCGCCGTGCATCTGGAAAAGGCGCACAAGATCAAAGCGCAGAAGATGGAACTGGAGAAATTCGCGCAGAGCAAAGACATGTGGCTGTACAATATGAAAGCAGGTCCTCCGGGCTTCGATATGCAGCTAGGAAATTTGGAAAAACCTATTAATTTGAATAGTGAATTATTAAAATGGTTTGCGGGATGTAGCAATCATACTTTCGTTGCCCTGGCGACGGCATTATTGGAGAATACTGGACCGGGCAATGGAAGTGAAACATATAGAAAGTACGTTCTGATGAGGGATCATTTCAGGATGGAAATGAAAGATATGCTCGGCGATGATGGCGTATTCATTTATCCCACGCATCCCACTCCAGCTCCTTACCACAACGAACCGCTCTTCAAACCGTTCAACTTCAGCTACACCGGCATCTTCAACGTGTTAACACTTCCAGCCACCCATATTCCTATGGGACTGAGCAAGAGCGGATTGCCCATTGGTGTTCAGGTCGTTGCTAATGATAAGAACGACAGACTGTGTTTGGCTGTAGCCAGAGAATTGGAGAAGGCCTTCGGCGGATGGGTACCTCCACAAATCGACGCCTAAATAAGTTAAAATCACACTTCTGTCTCAGGATTTCATTTGTTTTTAAATTTTATTACAGTAAAATTTTATTTTTTACAAGAGATTTAACTTGTTGTGTATATTTAGAGGACCAATATAAAAATACAATATTTTTTTAGTAAGAAATGTATTTCAGAGTATTATTCTATATTGTAATACGTTGATAAATGTTTTTATTCCGTAGAATAAATGTTATAAACTTCCCTCAGTTAGTAAATGTACGTCTTATTTTTAGTAGCTAATTCCTAATAATTCATATTGAGTGTTATTGATCATTTAAGTAATACATAAGAAAATAAAACGAAATGAATTAGAATTATCTATTTCAATCAATTAGTAATTCATTACATAAACAATTACTTACGTCTGAGCACACATTGAAAGAGAGTAGTTAAACAGTGATGTACCGAAATGTTCAACGACTTCGTTGAGGCTTTCAATATTCTAGTTAACGTTTGCAGAATATTCGGAATGTCTTCGTTCAGTTTCAGTAGAATCAGTGATTCTTACGTTGTAAAGCGCAGAGACAAATACAAATCGTACGTGATTTTCGTGTTCCTCGTCATCTTCTCGACTACCATCTTGGTCAAAGTATTACATCGAAATTTTATTTTGGAAAATTACATCTTTGTACTAGAGATCATCTGTAATATGTTAAATATATTCTTCTGCTATTTAATATGCGCATCCAAGTTTCATGCAATAATTGAATCTATTGAAAGTATTAGAATTATCGATAATCAATTGATCAACAACGAAAATAACATTTCATCCAAAAGTTGGGTGTTGATCAATGTAATTATTACATACTCATTTCCGATCAGTCTTCTCATTGGAACCATTTTCTCCGGGTTAAGTTTCACTTACGCATTTTTTGTGTCATTTGGATACATTGCTAATAGCAACATCTGCTTAATTCTCTGTTTTATTAAGAGAGAATGTAAGCTCAGATATAGATGCTTGAACGGTCCAAACATTTCGCCTAAGACAATAAAAGTTACTTACTCCGAGTTGTTCAAGATAAATCAGCAAGTGCATGATATTCTGCAGATCCCGATCTTAATCATCTTCAGTACAACTTTCGTATTTTTAATAACGAGTTTCTACTATTTTACATTTAAAATTCCTAGCGACACTGTCCTCTCCGTCAATTGGTCTTTATACATCTTTTCAGTGTTGAATTTCGTCGTGTATAACATTGATTCAATGGATGAAGAAGTGAGTATAATACATATCATATTTTTAAATTTATTGAGGTAAAATGAAAATACAACACAGTACGGCACTGTTAGTGTTATTATTACTAATGGAAAAGTATACGATCTTTCATATTATTGGATAATTTTAATTATAATCGATCTATGTTTTGTATTTCCTTCTTAGTAGATACAAATAGCTGACATGAATAGCACGAACGAAGTGTTCAATATCTTGTTAACTATATGCAGATTAGTCGGTATGAGTTCGTTTATTTACGATCGCTCTACGTCAAGTTTCCAATCAAATTATTGGCACAAGCTGAAGCAATACGCAGTGACGTGTTTAACATTTTTTATCTCGTCCGCTGAATTCTTCATATGGTACAAAATACTAGGAGCACCGTCCACCATTGACGATTTCATCATTTTTGTAGAAGTTCTAAGCAACGCAGTAATTCTCTTTGCAAGTCACGTAATAACTATCATCAAATTTACGAAAATAATCGACATGATAAAGAGATTGAATGAAGTTGATAGAATCATAAAAAGCACATCATCCTCCAAAAAAACTTTGTTACGTGATATGTCAATACTTTATTCATTTTCAATCATCATATTCTCAGCGTTTATTTATCAGAACAACATTTATGATATTGTTTACGTGTTCTGCGTTTCTTTTACTTATTTTTCGTTCGGGAATCTTCATTTACTATTTCTATTCATGACTCGTGAATGCAAACGAATATTTGCATTGTTGAACAGCGTTTCCATGGTTCCGCAGCTAAAGGATATTTATTTGGAGCTTACCGATATTCAAAAGTGTATTGAAGATATTTTTCAAGTTCCGCTTTTAATAAAAATTGCAGTGTCTTTTGTGTTCATGGTCAACAGCCTTTACTTTTTTGGACACCCTGGTTCAATGAAGTTATTTTCCATATTTTGGATATGGAATACAATTACGGAAATGATATTATTTATCGTAACTATTGAAAAATTGCAAAAGGAGGCAAGTACAAGTTAATTTTTAAAACTTTTTTATGATATTTTTATTGATCTTCAATTACGTTAGTGACTTTTATTTTAATAACATAAAACGAAGATAAAATTAAAAAAAACGAAAGTACGGTACTGCAAATCCAATTAATTATAACGAAAGTGTATACAAACTTCATTAATAAGAGACAATTGTATTATAATTGATGTATTATATTTAGTAACGTTCTATTTCTTAGGAAGTAGAAATGGGTAGTAACACGAATGAAGTTTTCAATATCTTACTAACAATATGCAGATTTATCGGGATGACTTCGTTTATCTACGATCGCGCTTCTTCTACATTCAAATCCAATTATTGGTATAAACAGAAAGCATTTTCCATTTTAATAATTTTCCTCTCGTGCGGAATAATCTACATGTGGTTCAAAACATTACAAGAAACGCTCATCATAGATGATTACGTGATTATCATCTGTGTCTTGAGTGACTCTTCTACACTTGTGGCAACTTACGTAATAACTAACATCAAATTCACAAAAATAATCGACGTAATACACAAGTTGAATACAGTTGATACAATTATAAAATACGAATCTTCATCAAAACTGCATTTGCTGAGAGATATGAGCATTTTTTACATATTTCCTATCAGCATATTCTTAGATCTAATAATGCAAAATTTGAATTTTATCTATTTGGTGTATGCTTCTTTTTCTTATTTCGCTTTCGGAACTCTTAATTTGCTCTGCATCTTCACGTCACGTGAATGTCAACGTAGATTTAAAATATTGAACAGTGTTTTAATTAATCCTCAAATGAAGAACATATATTTGGAGTTGACTCATATTCAAGCCAATATTCGAGATATTTTTCAGTTTTCAATATTGATTAAAATAACGCTGTCGTTTGTGTACATGCTCAACTGTCTTTATTTTATCAGATACGCGGATTTCTTGTACATTATATGTATTCTATTTTGGTTGATTACTATGATTGTGCAATTAGTATTAATCATATTTACGATGGAACAGTTGCAAAAAGAGGCAAGTATTAGATTATTGTAAGAATTATATTATATAGAAATACAAATGTTAGTTAACATAACTATTATTTAATATAAAGTTAACAAATAAAAAAAGTTTAAATGCAAAATTATTTATAAATTCACCAATAGCTCAATAGATACGGCATTGCTCAAAATGTATCTGATTATTACAAACTTGTTGTCTATCAGTTTTCTCATTCTAAGTATTTACTGTCTGTGGTCTATACATTCTATACTCATTTTTGGTATAGTATAGTATTGGTATACTTTCCAATTAATTATTCAATGCTTCAATAAGAGAGAATGTAAGCTCACAGATAGATATTTGAATTGTCCATATATTTTGCTTCAGACAATCAAAGATGCTTACTGCGTGCTGTTCATGGTTAATCAGCAGGTGTATGTTTTTCTGCACATACCGATCTTAGTCACCCTCAGGTTAACCTTTATATTTTTATTAAAAAGCTTGTGCTATTTCTTTTTCGGTTAAATGAAAATATAATACAATAAGGCACTGCTAATCTAATAACGCTGAACGCTGCAAATTCGCGACATACCGTTTCTGGGATCGGGTTTAGCATATGCAGTTCATTTCTACCTTAAAATATACACTTAATGCGAACTGTTAGTGTAACAAGAAGAGCTAAGAGTTTGTAGTTGATAGTTAGTATGACACAAATTAAATTTTAATTAATTAATTCCGGTATTAAGAAGTTAATGTTATTATTTCTAATTGAAAAGTATACGATCTCTCATAACAAACTTTATTACTAATAGGCAATTGCATTATACTTGATGCATTCTCCCGCCTTATATTTAGTAACGTCCTATTTCTTAGGAGGTAGAGATGGATAGTAACATGAATGAAGTGTTCAATATCTTAGTAAGAATATGCAGATTTATCGGGATGACTTCGTTCATCTACGATCGCTCTTCTTCTACGTTCAAATCCAATTATTGGCATAAAGTGAAACAGCAAGTAGTTACCATTTTATCACTTTTCCTCTCGTGCGGAATATTCTGTATGTGGTTCAAAACATTACAAAAACCGTTCACCATTGATGATTACATCATTATCTTCGAAGTCCTAAGTAATTGTCTTACACTTGTTGCAACTTACGTGATAACTTACATAAAATTCAAAAAAATAATGGACGTAATCAAGAGATTAAATGAAATTGATAGAATTATAAAATGCGACACTCCGTCAAAACTACATTTGTTCAGAGATATGATCATTTTTTACATATTACCTATCAGCGTATTCTTAGGACTACTGCTAATGCAAAAATTGTTTTACATTGTTTATTTGGTGTTTGTTTCTTTTACTTATTTTGCTTTTGCAACTGTTCAATTGCTCTGCATCTTCACGTCACGCGAATGTCAACGTAGATTTCAAATTTTGAACAGTGATTTGATGAATACTCAAATGAAGAATATTTATTTGGAGTTGACCCATATCCAAGCCAATATTCGAGATATTTTTCAGTTTTCAATATTGATTAAAATAACGGTGTCATTTGTGTTCATTCTCAATTCTCTTTATTTTATCAAATACATCGATTTCATGTACACTCTATGTGTTCTATTTTGGTTAACTGTTATAATTGTGCAAATAGTGTTAATTGTTATCACGATGGAACATTTGCAAAAAGAGGCAAGTATTAGATTATTGTAAGATATATTATTGAAATACAAATATTAGTTACGTTTATTTATTAAAAAAGTTTATTTATTAAAATAATTTTTCTTAGGTAAATCCGGAAAATCTTTACACAATCATCGCCAATATGTTAACTATATTCTCCTGCTATTTAATATGCGCATCTTTGTTCCATGCAATCATTAAATCTGTCGAAAGTATTGAAATTGTCTATAAACATTTGATGAATTTTATCTCTGGTTAAATT